GGGGGTATTTTTTGTGTTTTTTTTTTTTTTATAAATAAAATGGCTGTATAGGACAGGTGTTTTCTTTGTTAAGAAAATGATGGTGCAGTCAAAATAGCCAAGAAGTATCTTTTTCTTATTTTATTTTTTCTTTTTCTACACCTATGTCCCTTTTTTCGCCTGAACAGTTCAGGCCTTTTTCATCTGATTTAATGTGTGTGTAAAAAAATGCGAATAAATACATTCTTCTTTAACATGCATAACTGCAACATTTCTAAGTGTGTAAATGTACACAGTGTGCTACATTTGACGCATTTACAAAACGCGCTTCTTTATATGCCACTCATTGGCATACCGCTGCGGGGAGGTACACACGAGCAAGTGTTGCATATGTATGTATCGAAGTACGCATATACTTGTGTAAGTGTGTATGCATGCCGGTAGGTTTCACGAAAGAGCGGGAACAGGGAAAATCTGTTGACGCGTTTCTCTTTGAGATTTTCCTCCCTTTTGTTATTCTCCCAACGGAACTTAACCCGGGGGGAAGAGATATAAATATATATATGTACGTGCTTCACTCAAATGGGTGGCGTAATAATGCCTTTACTCGTCCATGCATGTATGTACTTATGCGAAGATATGTACAGGTTTGGGCTAACCCCCATACACCCACTTCGTCTGCGCGTGCAGGGGGGAGTAGGAAAATTCATGCAAAGGGGGGGAGGTTGCAAACGCGGGGATGGTAAAGTGTGTTTTGTGCGTCAACGCAAGTCTGCTCCCACTCGTACATAACGTAAGTACGTATGCTTAAATGAGATGCATGAGAGTGAATGCAAAGGGGGGGAACGACAAAATGGATGAGTGAATGGGGAAACAAACGGGTGAGCAAATGGGGAAACAAACGGGTGAGCAAATGGGGAAACAAACGGGTGAGCAAATGGGGAAACAAACGGGTGAGCAAATGGGGAAACAAACAGGTGAACAAATGGGGAAACAAATAATTGATCAAATAGGGAAACAAACGAACGAAAGCAGGTGGAAAGGGTTCACGAACTTTCTTCTGCTTGGTACACCTGCACAGTTTCCGTTTCCTTTGATTCGTTTGAGTTGGTTTCAACTCCCGTTCGCTCTTCCCTTCTTCCCACGCGTCACACAGGGGAAAAAAAAATAAAAAAAAAAAAAAAGAAGGCAAAGAAACGGAACGGGACGGAATGAGTGGTGCTGTTCGGATGTATACGCACGGAATTCAAGTGCACGCGCATGAGTGTAAACATAAGGATATTTGTCTCCGCACGTTTACCTAGAGGCATACATACAGGCAATACATGCATATATGGATAATACACAAATGGATAATACACATATGGATAATACACATATGGATAATACATGTATGCATACATACATATATGGATAGATGAATGGGTGGGTGCCTTTTCCCGCTTGAGTGTATATTCCCAACGCATGCGCAAATGAACACCAGGGAGGTTATTTTACCGCGCGAAGAAGCAGTTGAGCACAGTCAAACGGAACCATGTGCAGGTGCAGGTGGACATAAAAGGATCCATCAACGCACAATCAATGTTGCTGTTGGGACATATCACCGATGTTCACTCTCTGTCATGCGTTGTTCTTGAGTTCGTTGCGCGTGTTTCCTAAGTTCTCGTTTCCCCCAATAGGAAGCTTTCCTCTTCTTCCTTTTAGGTTTCCCCGTGTTATGCTCCAACTTCTCATTTGCTTATCTCTTACAGTAGACGTAAAAACGTGGACCATGCGCTATGACATACATGCGTACACATGTACCGTCTAAATAGTAGTACCCCGGGAAGAACTTTCATACATATGAGTGTACACAGAAGGAGTTTTTCCGGTGGGCATATAAGTTCGATATACTGTTAAATGGAGATGTATGCGTCGCTTATCCACTGTGTGTACGTCTTGCATACATACACACATGAGTCGACGACCATCACTGTGTTAACTAATCAAAGCCAACGAATGGAGTAACTCGACAAATATGTGTTCACACATTTGGCAACAACTCCTCCACCAACGTATACAATTACTCAGACGAAGTATAGTTACGCGAGAGTAGTGAAATTGAAAAAGAAAAAATGGGGAAAAAAAAAAAAGTTGGGGAATAAGTCAATTTAAAAATTCATTTAAACCTAATTTGCAAGCATACGAGTTCAAATTCAGTTCGTTCTGTATGCAAACCTTTTACGTATGACAGAACGCATTTGTTTGAATGCCCCCACGTGTTGCAAAATGGATAAGTGGAATTAACAAGCAATAGCTTCACACGGGAAGGAACAGAATGAGAAAAAAAAACAAAATTGGATGGATGGACGGATGGAAGGATGGATGAATGGAACGATGGATGAATGGAACGATGGATGGCTGAACCATTCCAGAGGAGTGATCATGGCGCATGTGTAAAAGTGCCACGTGTGTATGCAACGCGCACATGCGTATGCACATGCACACGGATCGTTCAATGTTCGCCCGCCCGGTCGTCCGTTTGTACGTTTGTGTGCCCCTTGCTGTGCACGCTCGCTTACGTGAGCAGCACTCCCCCCCTCTGAATAATCGCTTGAGGAGAAATTTGAACTACAAACAGAATTCATCCGCATGCGACACGTCCAAAAATGGCTGTTTTATATCCCTCCTTTCGGCGGATGTACAATGTGTGAGTTTCACCTCTCTTCGCAGGAGTGCCATATCGCCCTGTCACCGAACGCGGAGGCAGAAGCTGCTTCTCCCTCTGTTTCTCGCCCCCCCTCTCCAGTTTATTTTCCCATCGGGCGCCTCCCCCAAATCTCTCACCTTAAGCGACAGGAATACTACACATTTGC